ACCAGCCACTCCTCGGAAGGAAGGTTGGGCAATCTACTTCCATAGTGATACTGCCTTGAAAACCCAAGGAGGGGTCACTATGAGTCAGGTCTGACTTGACGGCAAATAACAGCAACAACATGAGGAACAAATTTGCTTTACTCCCATGCCAGAGAAGCTTTTAAGGGTTTAAATATTCTAGCATTGACCACCATATAGTGCAATTCAATTTGGGAGCAAACATGAATACTGTTAAAACCTAGTTTGGTATTCCATGTAGGGTACAACTATGAATAAAAATAATCTCTGCCTTTTAATTATTTTTAGTTGATATAAAAACATACAACAAAATTAAATACAGGATATAAATGCTGAAAGGACTATACAAAAACTAAAATGTGTCATGAGAAGCAGAGAAAAGGACTTATTTTGACATAAGGATGGGGTAAAGACTTCATCAAAGAGTTGCACTTGAACAGTCCTTGGAAACAGAGATAGAATTTTCATTGCCATATGAAAATAAGGTCAGGTTAACCATATGTTTATTTGGTGAATATCTAGAATCTCACTTAGAAAAAGATTTATATTAGTTCCCGTATATTTTATGGGTTGTATTTTCTATTATTTGAGTTTAGTTTAGTAATCAACATCATTTGATATTGACATAATATAACTTTTAAGCAGATACTGAAATGTGTAGGTGATGACCACATATCCAGTGGCTGTCAGATTAATATCCTTGTATTTAGAGAGAAAAAAAAAAATTATATTTTCTTTGGAAAAAAACAAATATATAGAACAGATCACAAATAATTGAGTCTTCAAACAGCAAAACAATCTGACATATGGTTAAATATTTAGATTTAGCCCTCATGTCCATGTGTGTATGCATGTGTGCTTGCACACATGTATGTGCATATGTATATGTGGTTGGGGATATTGTTGTTGTTGCTATGGGCCATCGAGTTGGACCTGACTCGTACCGACCCCTCCTTGGGTTGCCAAGGCAGTATCACTACAGAAGCAGATTGCTCAACCTTCTCCTTCCGAGGAGTGGCTGGTGGGTTTGAACCACCAGCCTTCTGGGGAGCAGTCAAGTGCCTTAGGCACTATGCTACCAGAGCTGAGGCACAGAAAAGAAATGTATTACATAATCAAAAGGAAAAGAGACCAGAAAATATCATTGTAATTTTAACGTTTTGTAATTTAGCAAAAATTAAAAAAAAAAAAGTGCATTAACTGTTTTTAAAGATTCCAGCAAAATATTGATAGAGATTAAAAAAGTTGTATATTTTGTTTTACATAGTTAACTTACATAGATGAAGTCAAGTAGTTATACTTAGATAGCATAGCATTAGAAAAAATGCATTAAACCTTTGTTCCTAAGTTGTCCCAATAATAAAAACACTTGAAGGAAATGCAAGAAACAAGAAAGATAATTAGCCAAGTTTACTTCTAGGTTTAGAATACAGTTTGTGTTAATAATATTCAACAGTCTCAATATTCTTTCAGTCCAATAGAGTTAGGGTGGAGTTGATTCCGACTCATGGCAATACCATGTGTGTCAGATTGGAACTGTGCCTTAGGGTTTTCAGTGGCCGATTTTTCATAACTAGATCAGTAGGCCTTTCTTCTGAGGTGCTTCTAGGTGAACTCAAACCTCGACCCTTTTGGTTATCAGCCTGTCACGCTTATTATTGCACCACCAAGGGACTCCCAGTCTTCTTCACTAGGTCTTAAACCATACTAAAATAATGGCAATCTTTTAAGAGAATGAACAAAGAGATTAATTATATGAGACAATAGATTGTATGTGGCATCTTCAGTTGTCTCAGATGGACAGTTTGGATCTGAGTAGGAATTTTCCTCGTGGATATAGAGGTTTCCAAAATTAATTCAGAAATTCTTCAGGATCCACAAAAATAGGAGGTAGGGAATCTAATAAGGGCATTTCTAGGGTCAGCAACTTAGAAAAAGCTTTGGGACTTTATATGTATGTGTGGTGAATGAGTTAAAACTTACACTTCAATTAATAATTCACAATTTCACATGACCCTAGGCAACACAAGTGGAGGGTTTTAACCTTATTCATGAGGGAATTGGAGCATTAAATCCAGGCCCACTTTCCCACCGTTAAAGCTTACAGAATAGCTTTTTTTCAATTATTTTATTTTATTTTTTTTTTAAGGCAGATGCTTTTGTGTGAGATAGAAATTAGAGCTCAAATCCTCAAGGTCAGTTTACCTGCTGTTATTAAACTTATGTGCAGCTAAATCATCTTCTGTGGATTTTGGGGTAATAATAAGCAGAAATAAAGCACAGATAATTTGCATCAGGAAGACAAATTACACCTAGCCAAATAAATCCAGTATGACTGTGCCCTTTTGAAAAGGCAATCCAATTGCCTATCTTAAGAAAATAATAATTCATCTAAGACTAAATAAAGTCTGGAGTAGATCATTAGCTGGGCAATGAGTTTTCATGCCAGTCAATCTGATTTTTAATCACATAATTGATTATATGCTTTGAAAGTGAACATTTGAAAATAGTTAGTAGTGCTTCAAAAATCATTTACCAGACTTGGTATTAACACCAAAGGAAAGAGTTATCTGGCATTGACTATTAGGTTAATTGGGAGCTCTGATGGCGTAGTGCCTAAGGCATTTGACTGCTAACCAGAAGGCTGGAGGTTCAAACCCACCAGCCACTCCTAGGAGGGAAGATTGGGCAATCTACTTCTGTAGTGATACTGCCTCAGAAACCCAAGGAGGGGTTGCTATGAGTCGGATCCAACTCGACAAACCTGATGGCAGTTAGTTTGTTTTTTTGGTTTTATTAGGTTAATTAATGTATACGGCCAGTAAGTGTGATGGTTGTAGGTTTTCTGTAATGTGTGTAAATGGACTATTTTCATCAAACAGAAATTCATTTCCTTATCGCCCATGGCTGTCCCCTCCCATTGGCATATCAGAATTTAGATAGGAGAGCAAATCAAAATGCAATTAGACTTTATGGATGTGCCAAATCTGAGGGAAGTGTCTCTAAGGTGGCTGGCTGAAATAACATGTCTGTGTTCTTCTTTGTAATCTCGTAGTTGGATGTATTGGACAGACTGGGAAGAAGATGAAATAGATGACAGCGTGGGAAGGATCGAGAAGGCCTGGATGGATGGCTTCAATCGGCAAATTTTTGTGACTTCAAAGATGCTGTGGCCAAATGGTTTAACTCTGGATTTTCACACCAACACATTATACTGGTGTGATGCCTATTACGATCATATTGAAAAAGTGTTTTTGAACGGCACTCACAGAAAGGTAAAAGACAAATGCTGCTGTTTTTAACCCACAGGGTTCTTCTTTCACAGAGCCTTGTTGTGTTGTGTTAAAAATACTTTCAAGTTTATTTTTACCCTTCTGAGGTGGCTGCCAATAGTCTCTGTGGGGTGGTGAAAGGAGGCTGAGTGTTAAGTAGTGCAGCTGGCACTTGCCTCCAGGAGACCAGGCCCCGCTCACTATGGTATGCCAGGATTTGTGGGATTTTTAAAAGAAGCTCTCAGGATATCAGAGCTGTTTTAAAATGCAGTTTTATTCTACATTATTGAAGACTTTACTGTGAGCAAAGAACTTAATTCTATACACCTATTTCAAATATTTGCAGTTATTTAACCTGTATGTTATGAGACAGTAATTACAATGCATTTACTTGAATAAAGAATTTCATGATATAGAAATTGTTGCTTATGAAATAATGAACTGAACTTCAAGGCTGTTGACTTGAACATATACCAACTTCCTTTTACCCTTTTTGGGTTAATCGTTTCAGAATGATTTTTAAATTCTTGGGCAAAATTGAGGATAGTCTGGTTGATTGTGAGGCAAAAGTATAGTTGACAAAACATCATCTCTATATTCTAGCTTGTAATTAACTAAACACACGTAATACTATGAACTGACTATATCCGTTAAGTAGTTGAAAAATGGAATATTAGAAAATGCTAGCATACTTCCTTGCCCCTATTCTTTGTGTTTTGCAAAAGAGGATTCCACAATTTTATAATCAAACTCATTTTGGGTTCTGTTTAGAGAATAAATAGTAATTAATCAGTTGTATATTTTGACACTAGTTGACTATGACAGTGCTTTGAATATTTTCACAAAAATAAGATCCGTTGATATTTAATCTAATGCCAGTATTAAAGAGATGCTGCATAAATAATTATGATTCATTTGACTTTGCTGGTATGTTCAAAATATTCATCATACTTCAATGATCAGTATGTTGTAACCTATATGGAGGTAAGAAAATAAAAATAGGAAACTCTCAATTATTCAATAAGTGATAATTTGTCATGATGATGAAAGAGGCAAAATTTGAATTTCTAATCTTTAATTTCCTAGATAATTTCCTCAGTTCAATAACATAAAATGAAGTGAACATAAAATTATTTTCTGCATTGTATATAGTATTTTTAAAATGATACACATGGTGAGAAGTAAAAAAATGTATATATTATTATTTTTGTAAATGTTCCCCTTATTCTTTATTCCCCTTCTACTATTCTCCATGTGAAGTAGGATTTGAATATTTTTCACATGATTGTTCCTTTTAAACAAAAGTAGCAAAAACATAAAACTAGAATGTAAATGACTATATTAAGATAATCAAAACCAAAATTAATCTGTGAGACTTCTTAATATATACAATATAGTAATAATGTTTCTATATTCAAATATTTATCTTCCTTCTTCTCATCTCCAAGATTTCTTTAAGTTGCATTTATGAAATTGAATTTGGAAGATCTTTTTTACTCTCAGTGCCAAAAGACCATGTCATATCCTGTGCTATTTCATGACACCATTACAACATACATAGAGAAACTAATTATTCAGATCAGTTTCTGTCTTGATACACATGGTCCTGGAGTCTCATAAAGAAAAAAAGCTAGAGAAAACAGCTTTGAGAAAATTTAGACAAATGACATATAAATGATCTTCAAATAGCATATCCCCAAAACAGAAAATAGGCTCATGTTTTGGAATTCATTTCAATATTTTTTAATTTTTTTCATATCTACTGTAAGAAAATATGAGTCATCAGTTACATATCAATAGTAAGCTTTAGAAAACATTATTTTCTTTAAATAGTTGTGCTTTAAAAGGCCAATTCTGATATTCATGATGTATTAATTTTTTAACAGGTTGTTTACAGTGGGAAAGAGTTGAACCACCCTTTTGGACTGTCACATCATGAGAATTATGTGTTCTGGACAGATTATATGAATGGTTCCATCTTTCAACTAGATTTGGTCACAACTGAGGTTACACTACTGAGACGTGAAAGACCACCCTTGTTTGGGCTTCAGATCTATGATCCACGAAAGCAACAAGGTATTAAAAGCCATACAAAATTGCTCCTGAATTTCACTAATACTTCCCAGTAGGTACAAAAAGGTTTCCTTTTGACAGTGTTTTTGAAGCTTTGAGATAAAAAGTGTCCAGTTCAATCCAAAGTTAATCAAATATTAGACTAGGGTGCTATAATAACTTATTATTTAGTGTTCTAAATAGCCTGAGTAATGCTGGGAATTCTATTTGAGTGACATTCAAGGTTTTCTCTAAATACTTCCTTTATCATGTCTTTGTTTTTTTGACTGAAAAAGGCAGTTTTTTATGTAAAGTAAAATTATGATCTTAATGTTTTTAAAAATAAGTACTCTAAAAAGTGAGACAAATTATTTAATAAGAAAAGAAAATTATGGAAAAGTGTGTTATGCAAGGAAAAGGCTATTCAAATTAGTATTTTAGTATATAATTCTGGATATTTTCTCTATATATTTAAGAAACATTTCATTGTTTTAGATGATGTGAAAAGAAAATAATATATCCCAATGTTTATATTTTATGAAAATCAGATAATATTATTATATATTTTGTCTTCATGAATTATTAATATGGCCATCTTGCCAAATTGCATGGCTCAGAACTTAAGTACAGGTAGTCTTATTGCCTATTATTAATCTCTTTATAAATTCAACCTTTATTGTCTTTGCAAGTTGGAAACATTACATATAAACTTACAGATGCATTTTAACATTGTATGTAGTACAATGTTAAATGATAAGATGTAGAAAAACAAAAATGGACAGTCGTAAGTGTGGTTCATTGTATCTCAAATACTTTGTAAGTTGGGAATTACTTTTATTCAGCAAAGAAGATAGTTTGGTTAAATTATATGGTAGATTTTTGTTTAAATAGTCATTTCCACATTTTTTTGAGATATCCTCAAAAAAACAAACAATTTAACTAGTGAGAATTTCCATAAAATTGGGTTCAATAAATTATATACTGAATTTCTCCATACCTGTATTGCCAGTAGGGAGTTATCAACCACAATAATTTTTTAAGGTATTGCAGCTAAATCACAGATATTACAGCAAACTCTTTCATGCAAGACTTCATTTTTTTTTTCCATTCTATACTTAAATAGCATTCCTTGCATACAAATGCAATTTTATAAAATAACATCAGTAAGTCATATAAGAAATAGCAATAAGACAAAAGTATCTTTAAAAAGAATAAAAATTAAATTATTTGGGATGATGAAGCTATGTCTGTGTCAAGAAATGAATAAAGACAACTCCCTGGAAAGACCAAGCTGTCTATATTTGCTATAACATCCACATGAACCACCCTCCCTCCCTACAGCATTGTAGTTTGTCTACACAGAACTGGAGGCAAGACTGTGAACATGAACATTTCTCATCTTCTGTAAGATCTTGTTTTCAGGATTATTGTTTTCTCTGACTTCACAATCATTAGTTCTCTGGAGTTTATTATACATTCACATTATCAATTTCTAACCTCTTTAGAAATTGCCCCTTTTGAATGTCATTGATGATTTAATTTGATCTAAAGTCCATGGTATTTTCACAGAATTCATCTTAAAACTTCCAGTTGAAATGGAAGGTTGATCAGTTAATGTGTGGTAGAAATATCCTAGCTTGTTTTTAACTAGATTTACATTTAAATCTAGTTCCAACACCTCTTTCTGAAACTTTAGATGTATTGCGAAAGACTTAACAACAAAAAAAATGTTTTATTCATAATACTTTTGAAAATATTAACTATTTGTTATTTAAGAATAAAGATCTTACTGAACATAGTTACTGACACTCAATTTATATTACTTCTTTTGCCCTAACCATTTATTAATCAAGTATATTGTGGTAGTTAAGGTTGTGTGTCAACTTGCTGGGCTGTGGTTTTCAGTGACTTGGCAGCTGTATGTAGTTATTCCCCATGATGAGATTGCAATCACCTGTATGGTGGAATCTGTTGTGATCAGCTAAGTAGTTGCTTTCAGGGTGAGGCCTGTTGCCAGCATATATGGAGAAGCTTTGAGGAAGGTCTCCAGCTTTTTGGCACATTTTTGGATCCTACATTTGGCTGAGTCTTCATCTCTAGTTCTCGGACTTGAGCCAGTGGCCTGCTGCGTTGCCTGTTGATCTCGGTGTTGTACTATTTTATCTGCTGACCTTGGGTTCATCAGTCTCAGCAGCCTACAGCTAACTGAGTTAGGAGTTGCCTCTAGCTCCAATGGGCCTGGAGCAAGAGACAGAGTGGAAACCCAAGGTTTGAAGGGCCTTTAACCAGATCCTAGACCCAACACTCTGATTTTGGACTTGTAGCCTCCTACCTGTAAGAGAATAGACTCCTGTTTGTTTATCCATCAACTTGTAGTATTTCAGCAGCACAAGAGAACAAAGTTTCACACATGCACACACATACATGCACCCCCCCACACACACATAGATAGATAGATAAATATTTTTCTATTTCCTGTCTTTGTGTGTGTGTGTGAGAAAGAGAGAGAGATTAGGGTGAAAGTTTACAGACCAAATTTGTTTTTCATTCAACAATCCATACACAGTCTGTTCTGTGACATTTACTACAGTCCTTACACTGTGACAACATTCTTCCCAGTTCCTCCCTGCACCCACGCTTCCCTTCTTCCTTTGCATCCCCACCTACCTTCTTAGCTCTATTCCTGGGCAAATGCTATCCTCTTGATATCATACGGTTAATTATTGTAATAAGTACATATCCTCCTCATATTATTGTTCACCTTATAGGTCTATCTATCATTTGGCTGCCAGTTGAGTTATGGGGATTCAGTTCAGTTTCTAGCCTGAAGAGTGTCTAAGGCCCATAGTTTCAGGGGTTCCACCAGTATTCATCAGATCAGTAAGCCTAGTTATTTCTATGATTTTGAGTTCCATCACACATTTCCCCCCACTCTATCTGGGACCTTTTACTGTACAGTGATCAGCAGTGGTAGCAGAGCACCATCTAGTTTTTCTGGCTTTAGATTTGTAGAGGATGTGATTCACATGCTCCATTACTCCTTTGGACTAATTGTTTCCTGTGTCTTTGATTTTTTTCACTTATCTTTGTTCTAGAGGGGGAGAGACCAATAGTTGCACCTTAGGTGGCCACTCACAAGCATCTAAGATCCAGTCGCTCTTCACCAAAGTAGGATGTAGAACATTGTTTTTGTGGACTATGTTATGCCAATTAATCTTAGTGCCCCCAAGACTATGGTCCTACACCTCCAATCCTAGAGACTCATTCCCTTAAGTTGTGTGGTTATGACTAAGATGTTCCCATAATTTTGTCCCCTGTATATGCTACAACATTTGTGAATATATTTGCAGCACATATAAATATATATGTAGAGGTAGCCTCTGCCAAATCTGTATATATTCATGGATGTAGTTACATTTGCTTTCCAATTCCTGTTCAGCTTGAGTGTCTAACTATGCACCCCTCATAAATTATTGTTATTATTATTATTGCAAAATTGTGTATGTAATGGTATTCACCCTTGTTGCCTTTCACTCTTGCCCTCCTCCTTGTCTCTTCCACTGTCTTGAACATTTTGTGTTGACCTCCCTCTTACTGTATATTTCCTTTGCCTTAAGCCATGTTGATATGTGTCTACCCTCCAATTGGTGATTGTCCCTCACTTCCTTTGCCACACCTGGCAACCTACAAAGTATAATTCTTTTTACAGTAGTGGTCTCACATAGTAATTGTGCTTTTGTAATTGACTAATTTCACTCAGTACAATGCCCTCTAGGTTCATCCACATTATGAGATGTGTTGGAGATTCATCGTTATGCTTAAACTTTGAGTAGTATTCCTTTGTGTGTATGTACCATAGTTTGTTTATCCACTCTACCATTCATGGGCACTTAGGTTGTTTCCATCTTTTTGCTACTGTGAATAATTCTGCAATGAACATAGATGTGCATGTATCTATCTGTTCATATCATTACTCTTATTTCTCTAGGATATATACCTAGTAGGAGGATTTCTGGATCATATGGTAGTTCTATTTCCAACTTCTTAAGGAAGCATCAGTTTAAGGTGCTTAAGAAAACTTAAGGAAAGTGGTAGCTTTCCACAGTGATTGTACCATTTTACTATGTCACCAGCAGTGTATGAATGTTCCAGTCTCTCCACACTTTCACAAGCAATTTTTTTTTGTTGTTTGTTTCCCTGATTTTTTTATTAGTGCTGTAGTGAGATGATTTCTCATTGTTGTTTTCACTTGATCTCTGTAATAGCTAATAGTCATGAGAATTTCTTTCTGTGTTTGTCGGCCAACCGAGTGTCTTCTTTGCAGTAGTGTCTGTTCATGTCCTCTGGCCATTTTTAAATTGGACTTCTGGTCTTTTTTTTGTTATTCAAGTGTTGAAATTTTCTATAACTTTCAGAGATTTGTCCCTTGTCTGATATATCTGATATATTGTTGCCCCAATTTTTCCCAGCCATACAGACTCTCTTTTTCCTCATTGACAAGTGTTTAAATGCTCACAAATGTTTAATTTTTAGGAGGTCATCCTAGTAGTTTAGTTTGTCATCTGGTGTTTGTGCGTTCTTAGTTATGTTTGGTAGTGTATTTATGTCATTTATTGGGCCCTTTTGTTTGCCTCTGTTTTTTATTTGATGATCTTTTTTGTTTAAGATTTTACATTTACATCTTGCACCTATCTAGGGTTAGTTTTTTTTCTATATGGTGTGAGATATAGATCCTGTTTCATTTTTCTGCAAATGGATATCCAGTTTTGTGAGTGTCATTTGTTAAAGAGTCTATCTCTTCCCCATTTAATGGGCTTCAGCAGCTCTGGTTGTGTAGTGCCTAAGGCATTTCACTGCTAAACAGAAGGCTGGTGGTTCAAACCCACCAGCCACTCCTCAGAAGGAAGATTGGGCAATCTACTACCCTAGAGATACCACCTCGAAACCCCAGGGGAGGTCACTGTCAGTTGAATCAACTCAATGGCAGTGAGTTTGGTTTTTTAGCCCTTTGTCAAAGATCACTT